TTCTCTCTTCTATTTCCTTTTCTATTCATATCCCTTTTACTTCCTCGGCTTTTTTCCCTCTACTTTCTTATTAAAACATAATCCTACCTTTATCCTATCTTTAACGTGGTTCTCCTAATTATTCCTTAATTTATCCCACTTATTCACAGACCTTTCATTTCTCATCACGCCACCTAACCAACTCTGAAAAATGTGGATATATAATATTTGATTATAAAATTTGCTGAATTTTTGTATAATTTTTACATTTTTGGGAAAAAATATTTAATCATATATTCAAGAAAATATATCAGAGAGAAAAAGAAGAAACGAATAAAAGAAACTAATATCTTTTTTATTTTTCATATAAATGTGTATTTTTTTCCTTAATGTTACAGACAGATTTTTCATCTTATATTTCATGTTTGTATAAAAAATACGTAATTATCGTTTCTGGTGCAACAACGATTTAATCCATTTTGCTCTAAAAATTTAAGATAATTATTTTTCAGACTTTTAAATTAAAAAGTTAAATAAATTAAATTTTATAATATAATAATTAAAATTATAATAAATTTAACTAAACTTGAATTATATAAAAATTTACATATATATATATATATATATATATATATATATATATTAAGATGAAACTCTTAATTAATTTAAATTTGAAATTAATTTTTTTAACTTCTTGAAACATTAAAATGTATTTTTATTTAAAATTTTTATGTTATCGTATTTTATGAATCGTATTCATTTATTTCAGGATGTACGTTATTCATATCACGACAATATATTTGTTTTACTTCGGTATATTTTATATTTTATTTATAACAATGTTGAAAGAGTGAGATTTTTCTTGGATTACATTACTGAGAAAATGAAATCGCTACCATTTATATGAGAGGATTCACAGAGCACGTTTAAAAACATGAGAAGATGAGAAGATGACACAAACTATAATTTATATTTTACTTTTTATATTTTACTTGATTGTTCATTGCCTGACTCATCTCTCTCTATTTTATTTGTATTTTTAAACTACTTATACTCATGTGCAATGGGGTATGAATTATAGAGTAAAAGCGAATTTCAATATATTATCAGTAATCTATTGATTACTATCAGAATTACCATCAGAAATCTTCCTACTAATATCAATATTAGCTATAATGTGAAAACAAAGATTAGATTCTACATCGCAGACACTAAAAAGAAAAAAGTAAATTTTACTATACATTTTTAATTCCTCCCATAACAGCACATGTAGATACTGAGAATGTTCGAAGAATATCGCAAAAAGTACAATGCACATATTCTCAGAACATTCGAGATACATACTATGATATACTAACAATAAGTATATACTAAGAATGCCTTAATGTCCACTTATTTTGGTTAATAACAAATACTGAAAATATCTTGTAGTATAATTCATATATGTATGTAATAGAAATACTTTTAATAAATGCAGTAAACGCACACACTATTTCTTATTTTAATTTCAAATATTTTTAATATTCTGAATCCCAACAAGAAATCCTGAACAACTAAACTACTAAACTACTAAACAAATGAAAAATTTTAAATTAAGTTTAAAACCTTTTGGATGTTAATCAGGGCAGTAACCTTGACAACATATGTCAAGGTCGAGGCAATCGAGACGGGCTCTCTTCATCGGTGTATTTATCTTTAATGTTAATTTAACAGAAGGCAAGTATGTAAATAAATAACACACGTAATATGTTTAAAAATTAATACAAAAATGTAACACTTAAACTTTATCTGGAAATAAAGTTTATGTTAAATTAACATATTTATAATGTTAAATTTAATTAAAAGAAAATGTTATTCTTACATTTTTATGATAAATAACAGAAAAGATATGTCGATTTAACATATTGAAACTGTTATAGAGAGAAAAATGACATAACTTATTTGTTCATTTTAACATATAACATATTTCATCAAAAATTCGTGCATTTAATATTAATTGTGTTGTTTTAACTCTTAGAAATGGTGAATATTAACTCAACGCAGAAATGTCAAAATAACGCAATCATAATATGTTACATTAACATAAGAGTATGTTAAAAATTTAACACAAAAATTTTTACACGAGAAAATTTTAACAAAAATACAAAATGTTTTTTACCGTGTATCCACAAGAATTCGTAATTATTTACTTTTACAATATGATGATGCTCTTAAAATTTTGTATTCTTCTTAATAATATAATTGTCTTATCGTTGGTGCATTTTTTCAAAATTACTTTTCAAAGCTTCTCGAATTCTGCCCTAAAATCATCATCTGTAACATTGTCCATAAATGTTACCCAATTGTCAGTCCAGGCAATATGACCTTATATATTCTTTCCTGTGATTGACGCGCATCTTAATCGACGAAATTCGCCGGTATATTGATAACCACGAAGTTTCAACTCTTTGTAAATATCTTTTATATTCATCTCCTCTTTATCATTATCGTTTCGTTATCAACAAATGTGCTACATATTTTCTCGTCTTTAATATTAACTAGAATGTGTACTGTTCCAGTAACCACAACACTGTCATTTTCGATTATTTCGAATTTACAATTATCTATAAGAACAATTATTAATTTTTTGTATGAATATTTAATTTACAAACGAAAATTTTATTCCATGTTTTATAACGAGATTCTATAAGCTATGTTTCATAACAAGAGTATGTTTTTAACGAAGAATAAATTCCAGTTGGCATTTAATTGTGGAAATGAAATAATGTGGAAAGGAAATACCAATCATTGTATACAATTTGCAAATTAAATGAATAAAAAAATGTTTAAATTTTAATTTTGATGAAAGTGTTCGCGTAAATATCTGAGTTTCTGATGCACGCAAATGCATATCAGATCTACCACGTATTTGATCATTAATAATAACATTATTAAATATTATTAAACATACATTATTAAAATATTAAATTTACAATACATTTTTTACTAAAATAACAGTAAATTGACAGTAGAAACTAAGATTTCTTGATTATATTATGTTTACCAACTGTCTTAGTAGAAAAATACAAGCTTAATGCAGTACTAATATACCGTAATTTTTGTTCAAATCTGATGCTTTTTTATAAGCTTTTTTATAAAACTGTTAATAATTTGTTTATTAAGTATAAATCTTTTCTTAATTTATTTTTCTCAACTGAATTTTTTCGCTTATTCATATTTTATATCTTAAAAAATTTTTATCCTTTTATATATCTAGATCACAAAATTATTTTAATTGTACAAGTTATCTTTTTGGATCATAAGAGTTAAGTCGATTGGACTTCTGCTTCGACAGAACTGTAGATCGTAGGAAATTGACATTTTCAAATACAATTGGTATATCGAGGTAATTTTGCTTTTTTAACCAACTGATCATTTGCCATATTAGGAAAAGATATCCTGTAGCAGGTAATAAATTTTCTCTATTAATAACATGCCCAATCATATATATATATATATATATATATATATATATATATATATAAATTCTTTGTCTAATAAATTAATGGTAACAATTACTTCCTCAATGTGAAGTTTCCTTTGTCCAAAATAATGATATACATACCAATCTTCGGAATAATCCCATCTGTAAAACGTGTTATTAATTTAAAAATATGTAAAATATTAGCCTTATTAGGGCCGTTTAATGTCGTTAAAAATAATGCAATTTAATTTTTCCGTTTTTTTTAATTCTGCTATTTTTATGTAATAAACATAACGTTGAAGAATCTTATATTACATTAAGCAAAATTTACCTTATAAGATAGGAAATTATTAGTGTATTACGACTCACAGGAAATTTAATTTCCGAATATAAATTTGCTATTTGCAGCTGTAATCCTGCATTATAAAGTTTTCCAATTCCATGCAAGAATATTTCAAGGTTTGATTTGTGAGACAATTTATATATAACTCGACATATTTTAACTCGATTTATACATATTAACTCGACATTTGTCACGGTTGCCTTCAACGAATCATTAAGAATATATCGTGCTATTTCAATTGTCATGGCATCGTTTGGTATAAAATGCACAGTTTTTGCACATACTCCCAGGGCTAATAGGTTATTTGTATAATATTTTGCTGGATACGAGATATTTAGAAATGTGCACCATTCATAGGATTCGTTCAACATGTTCAACCACTTTAAGCTCGGAGAGGTTTTCTGTGGCAATATCTGAATCAAGTATTCCGAAAGCTTATCTCTCGCAGGTTGGACGTAATGACTATGAAAAAATATATGTCCACAGGAAATTTCTTTTATAGAAATAACTGTTAAGGTTATTAAGGTCCCTTAAACATATTTAAAAATAAAGCAAATCGGCGAAGAAGCCCCTTTTATGCATAAATCCTTTATTAACTTTTAAATAAAGAACGATCGCCGGCTAAATCCTTTAGAATATTAATTAGAGAAATGATCTTGACAAAATATGTCAATGACACATTTGTGCGAGATTGAGCCCTTTTTATGCATAATTACCAAATTTTTATCAAAAATATTATTTAAATAATAATTCAATATTTAATATAGAAAATTAATTTTGACTGCTGCAAATCTCAAAAGGGTGTTTTACTTTTTAAAATCAGTTTTCAAAATTCCATTATTATTTATAAATACTTTTATATATTTTTTGATATTTTACATTTTACACATATCAATACACATATCAATACACATATCAATACAGTCACATATCAATTTGAATAAATTTTCTAAAAACCGAAAATTAGTACAATGTAATAATTGCACTATGCAATTGTATGTTTTTTAGATCGCATTTAAAACACTAACGTATTTGAAACCATATGCATAATTCTACTTAGTGCATCTGTTGAACTTTGTGACACGTAATGCATGTGTTCATTTTAATTGTAAAATTACACTGTTATAATTATACAAGTCATGCTTTCCGGTCAGACTATTAGGACTATGAAGCTTATATATTGAATGCTTATCACACATTTATCATAGTTCATATCTGATCACAGTTCTGATTTAATAATAACACGTTTTGCTCTATGATATGAGATAGCCATTGTAATAGTCAGTTTTATAAAGTTGTGTTTTTATTAGAATCATCGTGCGCTGCTAGTTTCATAAAAAAAAATTTTTTAGTTTTTAAATGTGGGGAGTACAAATTCTTCTTGCTCTTTACTGCATATATTTTTTTCCAATTTTTAAGTAAATTATTTCAAAGATTGTTTCTATATGCGAGTTATAAATTTCATTCTTTGTTTTCTTAATTACACATATATAAATCTGAAATAAAATTCTAATATCTTTTTTCAGAATTATTAGAATTTTTAGAAAATGAATAATGATAAACCGTTCAATCCATATATCACCGTTGATGAGGAAGAAATAGTTATCCCTGATATTGCTGGACGATTTCCTAATTCGGATAATATAAAAGAATTTCAGGATAATCTTTTCAATAAAATGGATCTCGTTTCAAAGGATCATCAACGCTAAACCAATTGTAAGTAATACATTTTCAAATTTTTTTCTATCTTTGGAAAAAAGTCTACATAATAGTATATAAATTAATATTTATAATAGTATATAATAAATAAATTAAAGTATATATGAAATATATCGATCTCTGTTTTTATTTTCTTGTAAATCTTTATTTCTATATACAAAAATGAAGAATAATTTAGGAAATAATTAAAATTTTTACATAAAAGATAAATAAAATTGAAAGAATTGAGGAAAAATAATCTATATATAATTATATAAAAAGAAAATGTTGACTATATGTTGGAACTTCTTTTTTATTTCTTTAAATCTCATTTTTCTAAAAGAAACATCAAAAAAATTATCCTTTTAATTATTCACCGATTATTCTTTTCATTATTTTTTCTGTATATGTACAGACAGAGATTATACAAGAGTAAGAAAACATATATATAAGTATATTTTATATCTTATTTTATATAATTATATGTATATTATTATGTAAATTTTTTTACTGGGTAAGAATATCATTGTTCGTTATATTAAAAAAAATAATACTTATATCTCATAAAATATATGAATTAATGATACTCACAAATTTACAATATATATGCGGTTTAATTATAAATATAACATTAAAATTGACAATTAATATTCTATGTGCAATTTGTACTTGCATAAATCATTTTTATTATAACATATTCGCAAGTTTTTTGCGTTTGATGTGAAAATGAAAAATAATCGAAGTGTCGTCTACTCAAAATATCTTGCCCATCTTTAAGAATGTAGTTCTTATTTATGATTTCAATATATGTTATTTTTCTATAAATCATTTTAAATTTTGTCAGATATTTTTGAAATGCCTCCTTGAATAGGAAAAATAAACAATTTAGAAAAATTTGATGCAGAATTTTTTAATATGTCGATCGAAGAAGCTCATACGCTTGATCCTGGAATTAGAATATTGTTCGAAAGCACCTATGCAGCAATTATTGACGCAGGTATCAATCCCGCAGAACTGCAGGGAACAAGGACGACAGTTATCACAGCAATGTCAGTTTGTAATACATATCTCGATGTATTATACGAAAAGCTTCATGTATGTTAATAATTTTACTATTCCAGACTCATGTATGTCAATAATTTAACTATTAAAAATCGATAAGAAAAACATGCACTCTTAAAACTGTATGAACGTATTAATATGTACGTACAAGGGTATTGTAATAAAATATTTTTAATATAAAAACTGTATCATAATTAGGTTGCTGGATTGCCATTCTTGGTTGTAGTAAAAATATGTTGGCAAATAGAATTTCTAACTGACTCAACGACTGGACCATCATATAACATCGATACTGCATGTAGCTCGACCTATTTCGCTATGGTGGAAGCTTACAATTTGATTCGATCTGGAATTTGCGACGCGGCTATTGTCGCTAGTATCAATTTGTGTATTCATTCTTTTGTAACTTATCAGTTTTATCGTCTGGGTATGTGACAGATAATATTATGTTCAAAAACGTATTTGAGATTGTTAAATGGTATAACTTATTTATTGATGCATTAATTAACACCATATTTGATCTAATAGTTTCTCCTTTCAAAATAACTTGTTTGCTTATTTTACATTACAAAGAATTTTAAAAAATCATTGTTATAATTTAAATTATATTTAATTAAAGAATATAAATAATCATATTAAATATTATTAAAATTAATAATTATTAATAAAGTTACATAATCTAAATAAGTTAAATAATTAACTTTAATAAATTAGGTCTAGATGTAAAAGTTATAAGGATAAATTCAAATTAGTTTTAGTCAATGAAAACGGAAGAAAGGGTAGAATATTATATGAACAGGTCTTCTCTTAGGACATATTAAAATCAATTGTTCTCGAAACGTATCTTTTAACATGTATACCTACTTGGATAAAGTGACTAAATAATATTTAACATGGCAATGAAATAAATTATAAAATATTTTAAAGGCAAGATTTTTCAAAGTCAAATATATGAAACATTTGCTTAACTAAGTTTCTAATTATAATTAATTTAAAAAAGATAATCTTTAAAATGTTATAAAATAATTATATTTTTATAATTATAATAACTAATATATCTTTATAGATACAGAGTCGATCTCAGTGTTTTAACATGGGCAAGTAAATCATTATATATAATACAATGTAATAATAATTATTAAGATGTTTATTTGTAATTAACGTTTAACAATTTTTAAATTATACATATATACAGGGTGCTTCCGCAACATACAGATCGGTAACTCGGATTGCCTATCTGACGATCGGTCTTCTTTTACCGACCTCGCATAATTGAAAAATAAAATCAGAGGATCGATCATGTAATTTTTTTTCGTAAAAAGTGAAAAAATTCCTTGATTGATACCTTGAATGCAAATCCGTAGGGAATGAGGAAAGTGAAATCAGCTTTTAACATTGATATAGTGTAATTGTAATATTTAATAACATAAATAACATTATATACCCTAACAGCACATGATATCATTCGAATATTCTATACTTATACTGTAAATATACATTACAGATATAATATATTGAGAATAATCCCATAACATCTCTTGTTGTATATTATTTTTCATATATTCTCAGAATATATTTTGAATATCTCGCGTATTAGTATATTCTTTCTCATATATTTTCCGGATATTCTATAATATTGCATGTGTTTCCTCATTTTGCCGCTACGCGCGCTACCAAACTCGTAGTTTAATTTTGGTGAAATAGACATAAAGGACTGGTACTTAACATGAGTTCTAAAGTTTCTTCTTTTTTCTTTTTAGTCAGTTTAATTTATAATAAGCTGACTTAATTTAAAATTTGTTTAGTAATTTAGTTGTTCTGGATTCTTGATTGGGATTCAGAATATTAAAAAGATTATTTGAAATTAAAATGAGAAATAGTGTGTGCGTTTACGGCATTTATCAAAAGTATTTATATTACATATATGAATTATACTGCAAGATATTCTCAGTATTTACTATTAACCAAAATAGGCGGACATTAGAGCATTCTTAGTATATACTTAATATATCATAGTATGTATCTCGAATGTTCTGAGAATATATGCATTGTACTTTTGCGATATTCTTCGAACATTCTCAGTATCTACATGTGCTGTTAGGGTAAAGAAGATCTTAAAAATAAAATTCGAAACGCGTGTGCGGAATGACAGAAGAAACCATCATGTTGGCTTATTATGTCGGTTTAGCATTTCTTAAGTCAAAAATAATAGGTGGCTTGTTGGCTGAAATTAATTTAGATTTTAAAACTATAAAGAATATAAAGAATATATGTCTATTGGATATCGATATAGCTCCCTTACGAAAAAGAACTATTGCCAGCCGTGTAATTATTACACGCGATTGTGTGATTATTACTGGTGGCTCTGTAATTATCAAGGCGAATATTAATAATATTATTGCCTCTATAATAATTACTAGCAACGGAATACAGACAGATATTACTCGCCTGTTGGATATCACTGGAAAGATCACTGCATATGTAACTACTGAGGGTACGAATTACACGCAGATATTACAGGATGTTGCTCATGATTAATTCTATTATATAATATGAGCAGGGATATATTGAAAATATTATTGCAAATATAAAAACTTAAAAATTTTTTCTATATTAAAAGTTTTAAATATTTTCTTCAAATAAGACAGCAAAATATGTTTGCAAAGATACAAATAATATAGGTTTTTTATATTAAATAATATATATTTGATTAAATAAATGTTTTGTAAATATGTAGTATAAGTTATTTATATATTTAATATAAGTTATTGCTTTTAGTATTAAAAAAAAATTTTATTGAACGTTTTTTAATGTTTAAAAATTAATGTTCCATACTTTCTGCAATAAATATTTTTCTACAATGTTAAAAAAACAAAGTGACATCCTATGGAAGAGAAGCTTTTTGGGATAATTTCAGTAGTTACTAATAAGGCACAATGTTTTTAGTAATATAATCTTCAATTAATTTTAAAACGAAAATTATTGGACACAATCACCATTATATTTACTGCTATTTCAGTGGTGAAAAAATAGCAATAATATATTTTGGTCATTGTGTTTACTAATTTTCTTTTAAAATTAACTGGAAATCATTATTAAAATATTGTTGTCTTATCAGTAACTACTGAAATTATTCCAAAAAGCCTCTTTTATTCAGGCAGTAATATTTTGGCAATAATATATTTTGGCAGTAATATATTTCGGCAGTGGTACGAAATAATTATTGACATTCTATGTAATTGCCAATAATATTTTCTATGATATCCTGTAATATTTCCTGTAATATCCAGTAATATTTTCTGTAGTATCCAATAATATTTCCTGTGATATCCAGTAATATTCCTATGTAATTATTAGTAATATTTATGTGTAATCAGCAATAGTTCTTTTTCGTAAGGGCTTGTTATAATAGTTCGCATAATTATATTGTGAGTGGACCAACAAGCTCTGTGAGAGGATTTCTCGCTAAGCTACAGGTTTGGAAACACTTAAAAAATACATATATTATAATATATTTTCAAAACATATTTATACTTATAATTACGTTGAATTAAATAAATAAGTTTATTAAAAAAAATTTATTTCTGTATAGAACGACAACATTTCTGTAAAAGAAATTTCCTGTGGACATATACCTTTTCATAGTCGTTACGTCGAGCCTGCGAGAGTTAAACTTTTGGAATATTTGAATCAGATATTGCCACAGAAAACCTCTCCGAGTTCAAAATGGTTAAACATGTTGAATGAATCCTATGAATGTTTCAGCACATCTTCAAATATCTCGTATCTAGCAAAATATTTTACAAATAATCTGTTAACTCCGGTAGTATTTTCAAAAGCTGTGCGTTTTGTATTCCAAACGACGCAGTAACAATTGAGATAGCGCCACACAACATTCTACAATACATTCTTAACGATTCGTTAAAGACAATTGTGACAAATGTCGCGTTATACAAATCCTTTCACATATCAAACGTTGAAATATTCTTACATGGAATTGGACAACTTTATAATGCAGGATTACAGCTACAAATAACAAATTCATATCCGAAAGTTAAGTTTCCTGTGAGTCGTAATACACCGATGATTTCTCATCTTATAAAGTAAATTTTGCTTAATATAACATAAGATTCTTCAACGTTATGTTTATTACAAAAAAATAGCAGAATTTAAAAACACGGAAAATTAATTTGCATTACTTTTAACGACGTTAAACGCTAATAAGATTAATGTTTTATATATTGTTAAATTAATAACACGTTTTATAGATGGGATCATTCCGAAGATTGGTATGCATATCATTATTACTCACAAAGAAAAGTTGAAACTGGGGAAACAATTGTTACCATTAATTTATCAGAGGAAGAATTTATATATATGACCGAGCATATCATTAATCAAAAAATTGTATTACCAGCTACAGGATATCTTTTGCTAATATGATAAATAATCGGCTCGTTTGAAAAACAAAATCATCTTGACTATACTAATTGTATTTGAAGATGTCAATTTCCTACGTTCTACAATTCTGTCAAAGCAAAATTCAATCGATTTAACTCTTATGATCCAAAAAGGTAATTTGTATAATTAAAATAATTTTGTGATCTAGATACTCTATACAAAAAGATAAAAATTTTTAAGGCATAACATATGAATAAGAGAAAAAATTCTGTTGAAAAAAATAAATTAAGAAAAGGTTTATATCTACTAAACAAATTATTAACAGTTTGCCAAAGTAGCAACAAATTGAACAAAAATTGCAATATATTACTACTGCATTAAACTTGTGTTCTGCTGAGAAAGTAAACATAATCAAGAAATTTTAATTTTTACTGTCAATTTACAGTAACAAATGTATTGTTAATTTTGATTTGCTTGATTTTTATACATCTTATTTTTATTTATATTTTTGCTATTTTAATTAACGTATTGCTAAAATTTATGGTCGAAAGATCGCAATTTAAAGAGGGTAAATATTTACCTTTACACAACCAGCTCTAAATGACTTGACTTTGACATATATTGTCAAGATCACTGTCCTGAGTAACATCCAAAAGGTTTTGGACGTCGCTCGTTGTTTATTAAAAAGTTATAAATAAAAGAAGTTTTATAAATTTTATAGAATTTTTGGACACTATGTACAATAATAGATCTTTCTGTTAAAAACATCCCCTCGTTATGAAACATAGTACAGAATCTTGTTATAAAACATGAAATAGAATTTCCGTTTGTAAATTAAACATTCATACAAGATTGATAATTGTATTCTTATAGATAGTTGCAAATTCGAAATAATCGAAGGGGTCAGTGCTGTTGTCACTGGAACAGTACGAATTCCAGTTAATATTGAAGACGAGAAAATATGTAGTACATTTATTGATCGAAATGGCAATGACAAAGAGGAGATGAATATGAAAGATATTTACAAAGAATTGAAACTTCGTGGTTATCAATATACAGACAAATTTCATGGATTAAGAAGCGCGTCAATTACAGGAAAAAATGGTCATATTGCCTGGACTGACAACTGGGTAACATTTATGGACAATATGTTACAGATAATGATTTTAGGGCAGGATTCGAGAAGCTTTTTTGTACCAACAGGAATTCGTAAAGAGGTAATCGATCCAAAATCTCATATAAAATATATTGAAAATCTTTCAAATGAAAAAAAACGTAAGTTTACAGTATTATAAATGTAATTATATGTATACTTATTTAATCGAATATTATTTTTCGAAAAATATAATACAAGTTTGATACGTTATACGTTATTGTCTTTATATCCGCAGATGTCCTTGTACAAAATTATAAGCACTTAGATGTTTTGATATCTGGAGGAATAGAAATACACGGCCTCATAGCTGTAGCTATATCTCGTCGACAAGATGTAGTCACCTCCGTTTTTGAAGAGTACAAGTTTGTCG